ATATGTTGTTGATAATACAAAAAAAAAACAAAGAAAATTGTCATCAAATATAATTGAATTTAATAAAAGTCTATTGTAATATTTAGATTAATATCAAATTAATTTGGAATAGATGTTGAATGTTTAATTCTTGTTTTTGAGTTATTTTGAAATAAATGAAAGTTACTGTTTAAGATTTATAACATGATTATTTTGATAATTTTTCTTGAGAAAATTCTTAGACTTAATTAAACAAAAAAAAAAACTTCTTTTTGACAAAATTTGTAATTACAGTAACTTAGACAAACTAAAGATTTATATGAAGCATTGATAGTATTGGCAACTGATAAACATTAAAACAAAAATATCTATTATGAGTTTCTATGGATCAAATTCATTGAAGGAGATTAGGCGGATGTAATTGGATTTTATGAAAAATAGTCTTACTGACAAAGATAAACAATAAATTTGAGACTTCAATGATATTATTCAAATTTAATATTTCATTAAATTTTGTCAATTTTGGTTTTTGTATAATTTATTACCAGTCTTTCATCTCTCAATAGGCTATCTGGCTTCTCCGAAGCTTCATAGAAGGGTTTAGGTGTAGATGAAGACAACGGTCAAACTTGTACTCATGCCCAGACCTCTTTCACACACACTCTCGAAACTTTTTTTCTCTGAGCAGTCAAAGCATGTGCAGTAGCAGAGCGATCAATTATGAACTGTTACCTGTACATGTAGAGAAAAAAAAATGTAATTTACTTCAACCATATCGAGTCGAACAAGCTGAAAAAAATCCAAAAACAACTTGAGAGCAACGTACAGAACGAAAATTTGATGCCAACTTAATCATAACGTACGCTTACTTATGTTGTATAGATTATTCTCTGAATGAAAGCATACCAACAAAAATAAACATATGGATGTTGACATGCACAATAAAACTATTGTATACAACATAATTGCCAGACAGTTTTGTTTAGCATCAAATGAAAGGTAAGCAAACATACTACAGCAAGCAGCAAAAATAAATGTTACATTGATACTCTCACACGGTAGAAGTCTCTCGTGTGAGAAAACATCTTTCATGACTCTATTTTTTTTTCAGATAAAACTTATGACTTCTAATCGTAATAATTTAGCGGCGATGTCAATTAATATTTGTGTACAAAGCCGAAGTCGGTCATCCACTGTTTCTACTGAACCTGGTCGACAGCCCAATGATGAAAATATTTCAAGTTTTATTGGACAACTACAAACAGTTATGGACAATTTGCATAAGTAAAAATTGTTATACTAGCAAATCTTTAAGAATCTTGATTATTTGTGCGTATCAAGAGTGACATCTGCATTTAAACTCGATAGAATTAAATGAAAAGTAATCGTGTTTAACTATTGTATGTATTAGGTCTATTTCTTTGTTCAGGAATTCAAGTGCAAATCAGCAGACTAAATTTAGTGATTTATTTCCTCTGTATCAATTTTTCAACACTATACGATTAGTAACAGAATATTAGATTGAGAATAATCGAAACTTTTTATAGAGCATACTTGCTAGGAAATAACAGCTGTTTAACTTAGGTGGATCTCAGTCGCTTCTGTAAGTGAAGCTTAATACAATTAGTCAAAATCTTAAAGACATCATCTAGATGCATTATCTGTCTGGAACTATGAACTCGAGCAAATTTTATATGAAAAATCAGATACAAGAATAAAAAACTGAGTTCTTACTTAGAAACATCTTTCAATCGTAATACTAGATGAGTAGTCTGTGGCAACGAATTTCTATCAACTTGTTCTATTCAGTCCTAATTATGGAGTGAAACGTGATTGATCGATGAAAGTTAGTCAAATGATATTTGTGAAATCAGCCAATATAGAACAAAACTTCTTCTCACCATATGCAATATTTCTTTGTACTGGCAAGGTACTATAAGAAAATCTAAGATCATACTGATACTTGATATTATGGATAGCTTTGATCAAAATGTTTGATGTATATTCATTTTCTCTGAAATATGTCATAGAGCTATTGTTTTGTGATCTGAATACGATTCATTTTTCTTTATGCTCATGATTTTGTGATGATATCGATACAAGAATAAAAAAATTCTGTATAGAATTCCTTTGTTTATGTTATTGTTTATTTTTTGAAAATCAGTAGTATTGATCTCTGAGAATCCATCATATCTTATTGTAGAACTCAGTGCAATGGAAGAAGAACGATTGATGATTATGGTCCTCACGTATGAGATACGAAAAAGTGACGTTCAACGTCTTTACAAACCTAAAAATTTCGAAATTGTCATTCTTTGCGATGATTCTGGAACAATGACAAGTGTTGTTGATGGAACAACACGAACTCTCTGGGATGAATTACGAACATTTGCGCGTTTGGTTACGGAGATCGGTACAATATTCGATCCGAACAGAATTACTATACACTTCCTCAATAAAGAAGAGTCTTACAAAATTATCAATTCTAGAGATGTAGAACGATTATTCAATTTTTTCTCCACGTGGTTATACTCCACCAGCTCGTGATCTACGAAGCATCTTCGAATTACATGCTAATCGTCAACAGAATAGAAAGTTGTTAATATTCATCGCTACTGATGGAATGCCCACTGACGATCATGGAAATCCTAATCTTCTCGAATTCAAACATGTTATTGAACATGAGCGCTAAGCAGACACCTCTCATGTAATGTTTCTCATTTGTACGAATGATTCAGAAACTGTCAGCTACTTGAGACAATGGGATGCAGCTATGATGAATGTCGATGTGACAGATGATTATCAAACGCAGAAAAAAACGATTCGAGATATAAGCGGCACCAATTATCCATTTTCGTATGCTGACTATGTAGTGAAAACATTAGTTGGTGCTATCGATCTCGATATTGATGCTTCTGACGATTTACCTGAAGAGAATAATATTCTGAGATAATTATCTCCAGAAACTTTTGTTATTGTCATTCACTGATAGAAATTCATTTTAAAATATTATAGGGTGTAGGCTTCAGCCTTGTTGTCACCCAAAGCTACGTCCACATACATTGTCTGGCAGCAATGTCAAGTGGACAACCATCATATGTTAAAATTGAAGTGCAAACATTTCGTTTTTATTGTAGTGATAATAAAAAAAAATTATGTGTAAAAATTATAATGGGCACATAGATGTCCTCCTTTCTCAATGATCTAATGTCTGATTAAATAATTTCGAAGGAAAACTATGCTCATAACAAATTCCAAATAAATTAAATATCTATATTAACAATTTAAGTAAATGATGATTCAGAATTTTTCTCCTATTTTATTAATATGATACTATTAATAGTAAATATTAATAAATAATTCATGGAAAAAAAATTAGAGCTGTTCTATACAAAACGAGTATTTTGAAATGTATAAATATCATACATTGTTATGATTGTTTTCTTAATGTTGGTCATAGAACATGTGTCTCTTGCAGATTTTTGTTAAATAACATTTTTTAAAATGATTTTTCATGTTTTTGCTTTTATAAATCTATCACTCTTAAAAGATTCACAATAATTACTCAAAAACAATGTTAGAATATCACATAATCTTATCATTGATATATGCATAACATAGCAATTTTTAAAACTATTTTTGAACTTTTATTGAAAGTATGCATAATAAACATAGATACTCAAGATAAGTATAACGATCATAATGTTTTACGATATTTATGTATTCTTAAAATATTTCTTTTTGTTTTACTCATTGAAATTAGACAAGCAAATTGGCAGTGTTGGTTAACGATTGAGTATATCATAGTGTATAATTCTGCATTGTTTGCTCTAGATTATTATCACGATTTTTTGTAATCGATAGATATCTGTCTAGTCCGTCCGATGAAGAAAAAGAAGTTTTTAATTCATCGTCAATGCTAGATAAACTCTGAATTTTTCAGAAAACCATGTCTACAGCGTCCAGATTTTTTAAGGTTCGATAATTCAATAAAAGAAGCAGAGTAAACACTAAAAGAACTCTGCAACTTAAAGCGTATTGATGAAAAAATTCGGTTTTGCAGTTTGGTCCCTAGAAATCTCCTACACGGTAAGATATCTGTGTTGAAATTAGATCTTTTTTTGGAAGGCGCAATGTGCATTTAGACGAACATTTGTTTACAAGTCAAAATCGTTCTTGTTCCAATAATTAGTTCGAAACTCGTTATATCATCGAAAAAGTCTGATAAAATTAATCTATCATATAGACAACTCAAATACAGTATCTGAATTTGAAAATCGAGCTTTTTATATAAATGGTAAAGAATATTTTTTGATTTGTTCGTTTAACTTCTGAGATATAGAATTCCCAAATGCTGTTTTTTTTTCTTAACAATACTTTTCTGATTCATATCTAATTATTTCTGAAGTAGAAAGTTATATGTTCGTCTGCCAAGCCAACAATGTACACTATGGAAAGAATATACAATTAACAATACATATCATTTATTGATAATTAATAAAGATAATCTGATAAAAAATTTTATTCAAGCAATATATTGTCTTACAAACTTAAATATATTTCAACCAACTATTCTAACAATAACCAATCTTCTTCTTTTTTTTTCGTTAACGAAAAACAATTCTTTCTTTTTTTTGTTAATAACATTTCATTTCTATCAAGCAAAACGAGAAAGAAAGAACACCGCAAGATTATATAATGATACTCTTACGCCATTACTACATTCCACACACACACACATATATAAAAGAAATGACGGGCACTGATAGCTCATATATTGCACGATGTCCTTAAATATATTAAAGAAGAATAAAGAAGCAAAAATCTGACATTGAAAACAAGCATTAATATATAATTGAAGTAAAGAATATTTGTCTTTTTCACAAAAAACACTGTTATATGTATATATAAATAAAACATAGTTGACTTAAAAAAAAAAGAAAAGAAAAGAAAACAGATGAAATATTTGTTTTAATAATACCGGCTAGTTATATATATATATGCATGATTCAAATGTAATATTATGTATTTTCATGACCCATTAGAATATGTAAATCAGATGGTATTGTATTTAATGTATTAGATGATTGTAACCGATCAAATGAATGACTTTGTAAGACGACCAATCTTTAAAGAAAGAAGAGAATTTATGATAAAGTATTGTCTTTCTTTTATAATAATATTTACCGATCATTACCAATAACTCGAAATGATCGAGTTTGATCATAAATTTCTTGTGTAACTTCATTATCTTTTAAATTTCTACCTTGCATACCATGTTTATGAAATGCAAGTATACTATCTTGTACACAAACTTAAATAATGAAAAATAATAGAAAAAAAAAATTGAATATAAATCAATTTATTTTACCTAATGATTGAATTTCATAATCAAAATCAAGTTCAGATAATATTTGTCTATTTGTGTGAGGTCTACCTTGAGAATTTACAATATTTATATGATCTAAATAAATAAAATCATTATCTTTAAATTCATTTAGAAATTATTTTATCTTACTTCCTTGACAAATAAATACTGTATCAGCATCTTTTTCATGTTGCATGACACGAGAAACATTAGAAAGAAGAGAAACTAAAAAAATACAAAACACAAACAAGTTGATATTAGAATAATATTCATGTGCAGGTCTATGGTTAAAATACTACTAGAATATCTTATTCATAACGCCAATAACAAAAAAAAATATTGAATAATATACTTTATGTTTAGCTTTATGATTTATACACCTCATGAATGATGCTAGATTTCCTCGACTTGCATATAGATTTAGAAAAAAGATAACTTGATGATGTTTCGTATTTAGACCGTTCGATAGTTCGTCTCATAGATATTAAAAGATCTTCTTGGTAGTTGAACATGTTACAAAATGCTTCCATAGTTAAGAAAATCAACTAATCACTAATATACCTCTAGTGATTCAAATCTAATCATTATTTTTCTTATAGTCTGTAGTGTAATCAACAGTTTCTATGAAATATTAATAAAATTGAACATACCATCATCATAATTTTCCACTCTTTCAGTTTCAAAATTAATTGCAGCAAATTTATATGAATTCGGTGAAGATTTACTAAACATATTTAAAGTCAAAAAAAAGGTCTATATAGATATTTAATAAAATCTATTTACCTTTTACTAACACCAACACATACGTAAGCATATTGATTTTCTGGTGAAAAAATTATTTGAAAAATCTTTGGTTCAATAGGTATTGAAATTGAAACAGTCTTCAAAAAGAAAAAAAACAAAACATTCAAATCATGAATTGAAATTTAAATTCTTACTTTTAAATTCATAAATTTTCTTAATGGATCATAATATTGCATAAGAAATATTTCATTAATTGACATTCCAGCAAGATAAATAAATCCATTATATTGATTTCGACTAACACAACATCGAATACATCCACGTGTATTATTAATTTTAATAGATGCTGCTGATTTTCTAAATAGAAAAAAAAAAACAAACATAAATGAAATTTTAATAATTTATTTCTCTGATTATTTTTTACTTGGGCATTAATTTTTCAAATTTTCCTGATATGGGAAATTTATTTAATGGTAATGATAATCGAGTTGTACTTTTATTTTGCATTAATAAAAAAAGATCATGTCGATATAAACTATTTGATTTGCCTAATGTTGATAAATAATATTGATTTTTTTTTTATTCTTTTCGAAAGTTTTTTTTTTTATAATACCTGAAATTGACCAAAGAATATTATCATTAACAAATAACCAAGTTGTTCGTCGAGGATATAACTAAAACATAAGATCGTTTATAACTATATAAGAAAAAACAAAAGTTAGATAATGAATTTACCAATTCTAAAGTAGCATCATGTAATTCATTAAGATTTAATGAATAAATGCCTTCTTCAGCTGCAATCAGTACAAATTGATCTAGGAAAATAAACAAAAATAAATATCATCTAATTTTTCACAAACGATACATATTTCAATTCAGTTGTTCTTTTTTTATTTTTATATATATCGATTATTCTTTTTTTCGTGAGAATTTCTTATTTTCAATCATGATTACTATATAAGAAACATTTGATGAATTCAAATGTATACATTTTACATCCCAGTAATTAAAAGAAAAATTTTGAAAAACTATGATATTATGTTTTGTTTTGTAGTAATTAGAGCAAATAATTCGTGTACAAATTGTGCAATGAAGATCGTAATAGAGAATAGTATAGCTGTTTTTTTTATTGCTTTTACTGATGAGTAAATCCTTCTTCTGATGCGTATTTGTTTTTTTCTGCTTAATTGCATTCTTCAAATGGGAATAGTATTAGAGCTTGTATCCTTGTTAAGGTTAATCTTTGTTTTTATTTATTTTTTCTCTAATACGCATAAGCAGAGTGTTTTCTAAAAGCTACAAGAAAATTACCGAGGCTAAAGTAACGAGTTAGGTCACCTCGTTACTTTTCCTATATTAGCTAGGGATAGTCTCTGGCTGATTAATCGTCTCGAAGTCCAAACTATGTGCATGGTTAAGATCCAAATGAGATTTGAATATTCTGAAAAGAATTTCGGTTCTTAACTGTCTCTGTATGCAAAGTTTCATAGTAGAAATTCGAAAACCAATCTTTCCGAAGAGGACTATTGACATTCATTTAAAAACTATCGTAAAAGTGTAACATCTCGGCAGAAATAAGCTAAGATCCTAAACTGTTTGTAGGATACTCGTTGGTTATGTTGAATATATATAATATTAAAAAATGATTTTTTGATTTTAATAGTAGAGAAAGTCTTTTATTTGAGCAATAATTCTGTACGTCTAAGTGAATTCATAGTTTAGTAGAAACACTAGAGGACTTTATCGAATGATAAATTGCTTTTAAGATTTGAGTCTTTCTTCTTAAGTTATAAGTATTTTAAATAAGTTTTTTTTTAAAGAAACTACCGTACTAATCTTGAAAATTTGCTTTTTTTGTGTATAAAAAAATCCTCAATATTGATATCTAAAGATAGAAAAATATTATAAAAATATGACAATGAACTAATCCCATTGGCAAGTTTTAAATACGAATATCGATACTGAAAGTGATCTGAAAGCATTTTGTTGAAAAAGAACTCACACTTTAATTCAACAAGAAAGATTTATCTCTTAAATGATTTATTACTTAGATATTTTTATTCTTTAAATTGATAAATCAATTTTACATGAAACTAAATATAACATCTATAGAAAAGAGCTCGTCGCATAGATTCTAGAACAGAATCTGATGAACTTTATTGTAGGATATTTAATTAAATTATAAACAATGAATTTCTAGAAAAATCAATTACTTTTCGTTTCAGTATTCATCCAACAGTAACTAGCATGAATTTCTAATGGACATTGATTAAATATTTTCATAAAACCAGCACCCATATGAACTCTCGGTACACTTGGAATACCATTTGATGATATTGAATGATCTTGTTTTATTTGAAGTGTATGATTAGATATTGGTAAAATATTTTCATAATCATTATTTTGTTTTAATGTATTATTATTTGTATCAATATCATGATCATATATTGTTTCTTGTTGTTCTTTTATATTTGATGTTAATTTTGGTTCTCGTTTTATTGTATTATCTTTAATTAAATCTTCATTTTCTTCAACATCAGCTTCACGCATTACATCAACAATATGTTGAATTTCATTTAAAGCTAAATTTTCAAATGCACTTAATGGCAATTTTTTCATTAAATGCTAAAAAAAAAAACAATATGTTTATATATAAATTTGAATTTAATATATTTGAATTATTATTTTACATGAATATCTTCTTCAGCTAAACCTAATGATTTTAATCGTTGAATATGTTCAAAATTTTCATTATTCTTATTTTTTGTTGATAATGAAACATTTAATGGAGAATGCTAAAAAACACAAAAAAAAACCAAGAATAAAAAAAGAATTCTTCTGGAAAGTTTTTCATTTATAATATATTATACTCTATCATTGATTGAATTGTCTACATTGATTTTCGTTGGAATTGAATCATTGAGAATTGAACTACGAATTAATGGTGGTTGACTTAAATTTGCTACAAGAGGTCGAACACCTAAATAATTCAATTTTAGAATATTTTTTAAATACTCAAAATAGAGTATTGGCAAAAAAGAAATATAAGATCAACGTATTATTTTCTCGGATATCAAACATTTAACTGAAACTTAAATAATACTTTGAGTAATCAATGTATGAAATATGAGAGAAAAGTTTCTGAAAAATCAAACGAGTTAGTTTTCAAATTCTATAAAAAATTCTTTTTTAACAGTATCCTAATCAAGAGTTTAAAACTCTGAATGAACGAAAGAGGAGTCGTCGCATTTCCTATAAACTCTTTTTTAAAAAGTTATACGGTTCACAAAAACAACGAACTTTTTATCACAACATCATTGCTAAAAAATGCAATTTCATATATAGGCGAGACTACACGTTTATTCACATAGAATAGCTCGAACTTTTTTCATTCTATTCATAGTTCATTAGAATCTATGTAATACACATACTTCCGACTCTAACAGTATAAATATTGGTAATAAGTTTTTTTTTTTGTTTCTTACTTGATGATGATGCTGATGTCGCATCTCTAGTTGATGTAATCTTATGTGGTGCTTGAAAGATACTCTAGAATAACCCAAAGGAAAAAGTTGATTATGACATTTAATAATTCTATTACTCTATCGTCTTCATCATCATCTCTATCTTCAGATATTATATTATTCATGGCTCCATTATGTAATCTATCCAAGAGATCTTTTGCAATTTGTGCTGTTAAATTTCCTTGTAGAAATGGATGCTAAAAAAAAATAAATTCAAACAAACAAAAAATTATTGATTTCTGAAATTTTTCGATGTTTTTGTTTTTCTCTTTTACTTCAAGTAATCGTTCAGCTGATGGTCTTTTCTTTGGATTTTTGATTAAAGCATATTTAATAAAATTTTGAAATGTTATTGACCATTTTGTTCTATCTTTTAATGTTGGTGGTTTAAAACCTGATTTAGACATTAAAAAAAGTGCACGCATAGGATGTAAATCAAACATTGGTGGTTGTAATTCAGCAAATTCAATTGCTGTAATACCAACAGCCCATATATCACATAAATGATTATAACCACCTTTACGTTCAACAGCGGCAACTTCTGGTGCCATCCTAAATTTTAAAATTGAATTAAGAAAAGAAATAAAAAAACAACGAATAGTTTTTGTTTGTTCATACCAATAAGGTGTACCAATAAATGATTTTCTTTTACACATAGTCGCAGTTATACTTGCTGCGACACCAAAATCCGCTGAATCAAATCAAAAAAAGAATATAAGATTTCAATGACAAATACATTGAAAAATATTTACCTAGTTTTACATATCCATCATCAGTGAGTAAAATATTAGCACCCTATTTAAAGAAAAATGAATCATTTGATTTTATTTTTGAGCGTTTTAGAAAATTTTACTTTAATATCACGATGCATTTTACCAGTTTTATGAAGATAATCTAATCCTTTTAAAGTTTCTTTGAGTATATAAGCTATTTGTAATTCATTAAGTGGTCCATAAACTAATTAAAAACAAACAAACAAACAAATTATCAACAATTTTATCTTGAAAATTAAAGAATATTTTAACTAACTATGATAAATATCTTGCATTGATCCACCAGAACATAATTCCATAGCGATCCATAATTTATCTCGTCTAATAAATAAATAAATAAATAAAAATTGATTAACTAATTAAATTAATTTTTTTTTTAATCTTATTTTTCTTCTTACTTTAAATAACTACCAAAATAAGCTATAATATTTGAATGACTACATTGTATCATCATAAGAATTTCTTGTTGTATTATATTAATATCATCACCTGCTTCAAGTTTAATAACTTTCAATGCACGCATTGATGCTGTTGGTATATGTCGTGCCTAATATCAAACAAAAACATAAATTTTAATATAAAAATATATTTTTCGTAGACAAAAAAAAAAAAAGAAGAAGAAAACAAACTTTATAAACATCCCCATATGTTCCCGAACCAATACGTTGTATAAGTTCATATTCATCATGAGGACTTGATGATGAAAAAAAATCATATGATGGTTTACGACTACTATTCATAATTATAAATGTAAAATTTAAGAGAATACTCTATGATAATAGGTAACCATGACATATAAAAGAAAACGATAAGAATTCGTGTCTATTTAAATATAAACCATTTTTGGATAGTCAATGATGATGATGATATGAAGAGGATTTCATTTGTTAATGACTCATCATATCTAATAATTCCATTAGATAATATGAAATGCCTTCATTTCTTAATATTGAAAATAAATAGATTATTAAAAAAAAAAATAGAATTGAATATATTAAAATATTTGAAACGAAATATATTTTTTTAATTAAAGATGGAGAATTTACTGATAATCAGTGACCTCTATGAAATGAATATCATAATAGCAAGAATTAACTAAAGCTTTTTTTGTATTTCATAGTACAATAGTGCAAAATTTTCCTTGATCAATTAAACCTCTTTCTATCATAGAAGATTCCGCTTGATTTCTTAATATCTCGGAAAATTGGAACTATGATTAGTATATTTATATGACAAAAAAAAAGCTTGTTACCAAAATTCCTCCTGGGGATTGAGATATGGAACTCACAGTGTCTTCTTTAACTTCATTATACTAATAAAAAAAAATATGTAATATAAAAAATCTCTAAATGATGATATTTTTATTTGTACTTTTCGAACACATAAATTGTGTATTCTTCTTTTTCTGACTGATGTTCTTTTTCCTGTTTATGTTGTTGTTATTCGTATAATATTTATTTACTTGTCATAATTTATTATTATTAGTCTAATTATTGACTTAATGGTTAAATTTGCCTATTGTATATAGTCGTTATATCTACAATAGGTCTTAACGATTTATTATGTATCTCGATGAGCTGAGAAACACTAATATTAATTATTTCCGAAAGTTAGAAGTTAATCAATTTATACTTTTTGTCTTAGTCATATGACATTTGTAGGAAATCAAAACATCATCCTTGATTTCCTTCATGTAATCATTTGTTTATGGAAAAATCAAAAAACGATGTTATTTAGAATATTGAAAAACGTATTTCAGCCATTTAAATTTTATTTTGAGTTGAAAAATCTTAAAAGTGTTTTCAACCAGTCTTTTGAATCATTGACTTGTCTTCCAACTTTGGTGAATCCAGAACATTCCTATAAAACTCAAAAAAACTTTAGTTTAAGTAAACACAATGAAAATAAATGAGTTATAATAGAAGAATCAGAATGTTATTAAAAATTAAAAAAATTTCTTATATTACCAAACGTTCGATGTCAATTTTTACATTTTCAATTTCATAACTTAGTATTGTCAGATGACATCTTTATGCTTAATAACTTGCAAACTTTTGTACTGAATTATTGATCTCAATAATAGGTACTTATAGACAGCTAATGATCTAAATGTCATAAAAATGGTGACAAATATTGTTGGCTAATGACATTGATTCTGTTTCTAACTATGATTTCGATTTAATATTCTACTAATAATGACAAAGAAAAAGACTTTCCATGAATTAAATAGTTCATTGCAAAATAAACTACTTAAGAAAAAAACAATAACATATCTTGTTTATAACTTTGATAATCACTAAAAAACAAAAATTAACTTTTTTTCTTCGACACTTCAATATCATATTCTTTTTTTTGTTTTTTATCTTAATCTTTAATTGTACTCAAGTTATTTGTACATCTTTCATATCAACAAATATATATATATGCTTATTTTTACAGATGTTTCATTGATGTAATCATTAGTTTCTTGTCGTTTCTACTAGAAGAAAATGCTATACCACCTGGTGATTATTCTTGAATGCATTCATTTATTTGATCTTTGTTTCTAAGTTTGCTCTCTTTCTTTTCTTTTTTTTTCTTGTCTAGCAAAAGACATTGGAATTGATATGCTCATTGAATAACTATATATATATATATAAATACACGTGTCTATGTATATGTAGTTTGCGCGAAAAAAAAGGAGACATATAAAGAATTGACAGTCTTCGATTATGTATTCATTTCATTAGAGAATAACAACATTAATATCTAATCATACAGTAAGTTGGTTTCCAGCTTTATCTATATTGAGAAATAACGAGAATGGATATATCATAATGTAATATACAACTAACTGATTAACTAAGATTTTCTTTTTTTTTGTGCTTGCATCATCTAAACGTTCAGTTAAAAGTTTGTTTTCCTTGCCTAATGATTATAAGTTATCAAAAATTTGAATTGGCGCCTTGTAATCTTTTTCTTTCTCATACTAACAAAAAGAAAAAAAGGGTCTTATTGAGTATGTTATTATATATATATATATTTAATATAATGAGATTATTATATTTTATAGATTCTATTCAAACTATTTGAACATCGATTAAAAAATCAACATTGTTAAAACAAGTAATCAAGTATGTTTATAATTTTTATTCGATATGAGAAAAGAAAATGTGTGACACCAGATGGTTTCAATTTTTTAATGTATATTTAATTTCTTACCATATATATATATATGTATGAGTTTTCTTTCTTTTACTTTTTTTTTTGTTGTTCTTTAAATGGATATTGATCATAGTGGGTGTATAGATGCTTTTCAAATAGCTATTTAACATGTTTCATCGTTTATTAATTATTGATGAAATGAAATGATTCGTTGTTCTTGCTTTTCTTTTTCTCTTGTAGATCATTTTCTATTTTTCTTGGATATATATTAATGGTCATGTTGTTACTTGCTTGACAATGTCATGTTCTTTTCCATCAATTGATCTCTCCATCATCTAAATTGTTATTATGATTACTATGTTTCTGTCATCGTTATTGCTCTATATCTCTCTTTTTCTATCTTATTTATCGCACATTATCGATACAACGTGTCCTGTACAAAAGCAAGAACACTATCGGCGACGACAGTCATATTAGTATAAAACAGAGAAAGAGAGAAGTAGTGCCGCTGAAGGACGTGTGATCAATGCGTTTATCGAGAAATCAGTCTTGTTGTACTGCTTTTTCTTCTTGTCATCATCGTTCTTTTCTATCATTTATTTGTTATTACGTATTACAAGTATTATCTTTGGGTTAGCTTAAGAAATGAGGATGCTTCAGGTAATTAAATTTATTATTTTATTTTCTTATTCAATCTATATAGTACATTCAATTTGAGCAGGAAATATAAAAAAAAACCATACCATTTTGATTTAATTATAGAACGACGTGTCAAATAATAAAAAAACTATTTCTCATAATGTATACATTGTAGACATTTGGATTTTCTTATATGTTTCACTCAAATGGAAGAAAGATTATTATCAGTGACATAAACAATAAGACATAAAAAAGAAAGAGAGAGAGAGAGAGAAAATTGAGATGGTCAAAATAAATTTGTATGTTGCTGAAAGACAAACAGCTGAAGTCAATGGGCTGAACGTTAGTACTAAATAGAAAGTCCGACGGACAAATGCTAATCACTATGTGTATGTGTGCGTGTGTTCAGTTCTTTTCTTTTTCCTTTTTTCTGAGAAAAAGAATAACGATAACGTCACAAATGTAAAGCAAAAAATAAACGAAATATCTGTTTCCTGTCGTCTTCTCTCGGTCGAGCATTGATCAACAAACTTGTCGTCCGATGAACTGATTTGCTTCCTCTTCTTATTCTGGATGAGCAAGTGTCTAATAGGATTTATGCAAATCAACTACTACTCCTACTTCATCATGTTCTTTTTTCCTCTAACTGAGAAAAAAAGAGAAGAAAGGGAAAATACATATTACCCATAGTAGTCATCAATGAAAAATCGATTGTAATCAATAATCTCTTTTTTTTTTCTTTTTCTCAACGATTTCATTGATCAAGTTTTTTTTTAGTTTTTTAAATTATCGAATATATATATACATACACATAAGAAAAGAGAATCGATGTAATGAGAATTAAAGAAAAAAAAGAGACAAGGGCGTCAGCTCGGCATGGCATCAGCCGGTTCCGGTCGTCGACTTTTTTTTCTATTCTTATTGTTCTCGTACAGTCAACACGATGATCGGTTCCTGGTATGTTTACAAGGTATAAAAAACTTCACACAAACGTTTTTATTTTATTAATTATTTATTAATATGTAATAAATTATTTCTATAAATATATATATATGTGTGAAATAGGTCTTGACTCCAAATCCTTCTGTTCCTCTATCATCCCAACAAGCAGCAACAACAACAATTGCAACATCTATTGAAAATCAACAATTAATAGAAGATCAAAACGAAGACGACGACGAATATTATAGTGAAATGGCTGCATTCAATCGACAACAACAAGGAAATTGTAGTGAAACACAATCGATTGGCGGTGGAAATTTTACTGATGATGAATCAAATTATTCGGATAAAATACGTACGAATTTAATTATTAATTATTTACCACAAACAATGACACAAGATGAAATCAAAGATTTATTCGGTTCAATTGGTGCTATTGAATCATGTAAACTTGTACGAGATAAAACAACAGGTACAAAAAGAATTTATCGTTAAAAAATTCTTTTGATAGTAAAAAAAACAATGAAATGTAAAAAGTTAAACATCCATATTAATGTACATATATTTTACAATAATAAAAATCAATATTTTATTCTTATCAGAAATCGACCCGAGTTTTAATTCTTTTGGGAAATTTAAATCAACTTACAAGCATCTTTGTTCAAAATTATTGATTACTAGTATAAAGATTTGAATTATAAAGAATTAATTCATTTCCGATTGAAATTTTGAATATGAACTACTAATAGAGGAAATCCCCCGACTGATTAATTGCTTTTCACTCTGACCTACGTGTAGACCCAAATGAGCTGTGAATATCCCAAAGAGAATTTGAATCTTTAGCTCATAACTACCACGACACTACATTTTACACAGATGTAGAGTTTTAAATGAATGTTGTAGTTCTCCTCAAAAGCATTTTTATTTCAGGATAGGATCAAATTAGAAGATTTCATAACATATTTTTCTATTTAAGGTTTATTTCTGTGTAGAGTTTCAAGTCGAAAGCTGAAAAATTACTTTTCCATAAGTGTTATTGAAGAGAACAACATGGGGGTTCTTACTACAAGAGGACTTGAATTCTCTTCAAGCTATTCAAAGCTCATTAAAAGTCTACATAATACCACTTAGTTTCGATTCAAAAGTCATTAATCAGTTGGAAAAGTTACACATTCATTGTTCTTTACTGTTATGGAAGAGAAGAGTTAAATTATGTTTATTATCTATGAGATGATCGACTTTATTGAATTGAAAATTTCATTTTGACAATAATAAATTATTTAATTCATTTTTAGGTCAAAGTCTTGGTTATGGTTTTGTTAATTTTATTCGTACAGAAGATGCTGAAAAAGCTGTTACAACTATGAATGGTCTTCGATTACAAAATAAAACAATTAAAGTAAATAATAAAATTTCTTTCTTGAATTTTTATTAATCAACAAAAGAAAAAAAAACAAAATAAGAATTTTTCATTGAATGCAATTTGCTAAGTGTTTGCCTTTTTTGATAAATGTAAATTATTTTTCAAAATATTTTGAACCTAATTTATTGAGAAAGACAAAAGAAAAGAAAAGAAACTCTTACTGCAGGTATCTTTTGCGCGTCCGTCATCGGACTCAATCAAATTTGCCAATTTATATATATGCGGTATTCCAAAACAGTGGACAAACAAAGAGCTTGAAGCCTATTTTACTTCATATGGCAAAATAATTACGAGTCGAATTTTAACGAATTCAAATACAGGTTTTATTTTTTTCGGCGCTCTTTTTTTCGAATTTTGCCTCAATATTAAGGAAATTGAGAATAGAACAAAGTGTTTCACATAACCCGCTGCTTATTGTTTCTATTGTTTATATATTAGCTTTTTTGTTTTATCAAAATATAATTTTATTGGTTTCTTATTTATTTATTTTTTTTTGTTTTGTTTTGTTTTGTGTTATTTTATTTATTTCAGGTTTCTTTTGCTCGTCCCTCTTCGGAGTCAATCAAATTTTCCAATCTTTACATTTCAAATCTCCCACGTTCGATGACTCAGCAGGAGCTCGAGAGTTTATTTGCTGATTTTGGTTGTATTATTTCGTCGAAAATTCTTTGCAACCCTAAAGCAGGTAGAATATTTTTATAAATATTATTTTATTTTATTTTATTTTGTATGTGCACTGTTAAGTTTACAGATAGACTTTCCGAGAAAAAGAAATACTATTGCTCAGCTCTCTTTGTCCGTTTTCTTTTTTTTTGTAATACAATTTATAATATGATCAATAATTGTCGTTTTTTTAAGGTGCATCAAAAAGTGTTGGATTTATTCGTTTTGATCAACGTTCAGAAGCTGAAGTGGCTATTAATAAACTTAATGGTACTATTCCAAAAGGTATGTCAGTCAACAATAACTAGAATTTAATCAAATTCATCTCGATTTATGTTTTGAAATTTGCTTTTCTTGACACGGACTTTGGTTTTGATGTCTAGTGCTTCATCTCCCCCGTTTTAAATGTTATATCAAAAAATTAATAATTAGTATTTCGCATGATCAATAGAATATTCTGAAAGTGTCAGCCGAAAGGAATGTGTTTTTTTTTTAAATGAGATATCGAACTTATTTTATTTTGAAAATCTGTTTTTTTGTTTCGATTTTTGAGTGGTTTTCTCATAGTAGCAAGTTTATTAACATATGTATACAATATTTCAATTGTAGGTTTTACTGATCCAATAACTGTTAAATTTGCTAATACGCCAAATGCTGCTAAATCGATGATTGGTTTACCATTAGCACCATCCTATTTATCGGGTATTCCGACACCACAACAACCTGTACTTGCTACAGTACCACCTATTCGTCAACAATTGAATAGGTACAGGTATGCTGCTAAATTAAAATATTTTATGTTTTGGTGGGAAATATTATTTGTATTTCTGCTCTTTGTTTTATTTTATTTTTTTTTGTTTTTATTATTTGCATTATTTTGCATAGAGAAACACATGAACGATCAAAATATCGGTGAGTGCATTGTTATAATTTAGTGATTGTTATTGTTTATTTTTTCTTTTATATCTGAATATGTTGATTAGTAAAAATCAAAAATTTTCTTTTTATATATATATATAGATATTCACCATTATCACCCGCTGATTTTTTTGCTGCTGCTGCTACAGCTTCTTATTTACCTGCAGCGGCTGCTGCTGCTGCTGCAGCATCAGCTACAACATTAACACCATCAACTGGTAAGTAATTCGAAATATAATCTAGAAAAAAGAAAAAGAATAAAAAAAAAAAAAGAAACAATGATTAATTTTTTTTTTAATGCTTTTTAATAAGATATTACATCTGTTGGTTGGTGTATATTTGTTTATAATTTGGCACCTGAAACAGAAGAAAATATTTTATGGCAATTATTTGGACCATTTGGTGCTGTACAAAATGTTAAAATAATACGCGATTTTCAAACACAAAAATGTAAAGGTTTTGGTTTTGTAACAATGACAAATTATGATGAAGCATTAATGGCTATTAATTCACTTAATGGTTTTACACTTGGTAATCGTGTATTACAAGTATCATTTAAAACAAATAAACCAATGCCTATTCGCGCTTTCTAGTCCATCCAAATAGATTCTTTTTTTTTTTCATTTTTTTTTCTCTTTATTTCTGTGTGTGTGCTATTGCTTCAATTGTGTGCTCAGTTCGTGTCTTTCTTCTGTATTCATTGAACAAAACAAAAAAAAAAATGGCCGAGAAAAATCAATCTTCACACAAACAGTTTTATGTGTATATGTGTGTGAATATATGCATACAGAAATGAGGAATAGACAAAAAAAAACAAATAATATATCTACTTCTTGTTATTTTATCGATTAGAGATATATTGATATTGTTAGTTTTACAGCTGTTTTTCTTATGTTGTTCTTGTTTTCTACATTTGAATTAGCATGATTATCAATGAAGAAGGAAAAAACAAAATAACTTAATTCTAATTAATTTTTTAAAACTAGGAAAAAATATTAATTGACTTTTCTTTCTTTTTTTGTTTTTTGTTATTACAGAAAAAGAAAAACTAAGAAGCACTTATTTTAGAGGAAATAAATATTTCATATGATATATTTAATGAGTAGGATTGTTTGGCAACCTTGATCAGTTTCTAATGAACAGATGGCCATAAAACAATGCATCTTCTTATGCTTCTCGTTTTTTTTTTTGCGTTCTTTATACAAGAAAAATAATTCAAACCATCTGGCAGACCAGTAAAATGTCTATCATCTGCATATCATTACACTTTGACGAACAAGAATTCTCTGACTAACATGCGAGTCTGCACAGTTGCTTTTACTGCAAACATATTGCCTGTGTTATTTTCTTCTTTCTGTTCGTTTTTTTTTACTTGCTATTAATATACATATATATATAAAGCTTGAGAATTCAATCAGCTGCAAGATCGAATACACTCCGCTACTTGTTGTATCATCAGGAATGTATATGACAGATGGTAATTGCTCTCAGAAAAAAACAAGGCATTTCATGCGATAGTTCGTTTATGATTTTTCTAGTTTTTTTTAGTTTCATGTTCAAAGAATTGACAATCATCTAGATTTATTTCTGTTGTTTTTCTTACGTACTTTGTAATGATGAAATTCAGGTAAAACAAACTTAAGCATAACAATATATAAATGGTTTTTCTTTTTATATTTTGAATATAAATATTTGTATGCTCATATTTTTCAGAATGGATAGATCAATAAATATTTTATTATAACATAAATGTAGACGAAAATATATCAATCAAAATTTTCTTTTCTTAGAAAACGAACAAACACCAGATCTTTCTCTGGTTCGTATATATAAATAACGTATTTCCTCTTTTTTTTTCATATTTTATTCTTTTTATATTTCTTTGCATCTTTTTATCCTTGTGACTGGCAACAGCTTGCGCTCAGTGATAGCTATTAATGATGAAGAGTTAACTAAAAGTAAAAGAAGAAAAAAAGATGATGACAATTGCTACTGCGCACATACGTGAAACGGTTGGTGCATACATTGTTATTTCCGTTCTTCATCTTACTTGTCTTTCTCATTTCCTATATGCATGCATAAGGGCGCATGCTGCCATGACACCATATTGCAAGATAAAAAATGGTGCAATCTGTTGCCTGTTCACTGAGTATTTTTCTTGGTTTTTTTTTTCTTCTCTTTTTTTCTTCAGATCATCTATGCCAACTAATTCAAACGAAAGTCCTATATCATCATCAACTACAACAGAAGTTGTGCCATTAATGAATACATCGATATCGAATACCACTACAATACTAACAACAACTAACAGTGGATCATCATTGTCATCATTATCATCATCAAATCATATGCAAACACCGACACCTACTCAATCGAATTCTCCATTACAATCAACATCAAAACAATTAAATAAATTAAGACGATTTCTTAGCACATTATATTATTTTGGATCGGATATATCAAATGAAATCGGCGAGCGTGTTCGAGCATTAATGTTAGCTGTAATCGTAAGTTTCGAAATCGATACTCGTATACTAGGGGTTTAATTTTCAAATGAGAATAAGGCCAGATGATGTTTATTTTTTGTTCCCTTAAACTGGCATACCTCGAAAAGTAAAACATAGAAATAATTTCAAGATAAAAAGAAAAAAAAATGTGAAGGTGAAATTCAATTGTATTCAGAATTTTCTTTCGAATGATTTTCTTTTTTTATATTTAGAATAATGCTTTATCTGTTGAAGAATTTCATGGTAAAATACAATTGACAACTAGTTTTCCATTACGACCATTTGCATTGCCATTTTTAAAGGTAATATTAATGTTGATAATTGATAATAGGATCGAAAAAACATTGATGTTTTTTTTTAATGTTCTATACAGCTGTTTACTGAGATAAGCATAACAAGTACTAAAATAATAGATGCATTCAATTCAATACAGAATAATATCGATATTTTCTATAGAAGTTAGTTGTCTTTGTTTGAGAATGCAATGGCACCAGATGTATTCAAATGTTTTGGCTCAAGTATTTAAACTTTTTAACCTAAACTATGTTTGATGATGAAAATTTTCATTAAAAGAATCAAAATTGAGATGAATGCAGCTTATATTTTTTCGATCGTGTATCCCAAAATTTTCGAAAGAACTTCATTATAATCGGTTTTTTTCCTGTTTGTGAGAATATGTGAACCGAAAGTGTTTTTTTACAGGAATTGAATTGTTTTTATCATTATCTTAAAAAACACTTCTATAAATAGACGACTTTTGTTCTATGCATAAAAACTAAGAATTTTTGAAAAAAAGCTTGTTAGCGCAGCCCCTTCGGGACTGAAATGTGGAACTCAGGTATATCCTACAGCTTCATTATACTAATCCGCAATATGAATAGTATAAAATCACGAATTTTTTAATTTTCTGACAAACGCCCTTATTTTTCGTCTTCTTTGTTACTATTCGCTCAGTGTTTTTCATTTTTAACACTGCTTTTTTCTTTAATTTTACATTTTTTAGCATAAGAAGCATTGAATTATATGGAGAATGAAGCTGTTATATATATATGTATATCCGTTATTTTAAACCTAGTCGCTAAGGTTTGTAATGGGGGCCTGTCTGTAAGGGGTGGGAAGCCGCGAAACCTTGAAGTTAAAACTATTTTCTTCGAAAATATACGTGAGTTCCACAAAAGCGCTCTGCCAGTCATTGTAATATGACATACTCTTTCAAATAGACAAGAAATTTAATCTATAACATTAAGGCCTAAAGAGAATTTTCCGATTGCCAAATGTGCTATGTTCGACCTTGTTTGTTAAATATCTCTTGAAAATCTGAACTGGAAATCAATAATAATCAATAACTCTGTTGACGTCTTATAAAACTAAATATATAGCGCTCAGCGAGTTGACCTTGAACTCGATCACGTCCAGATCCAGAAGTTTTGAACCTAACAGGCTCTAATTGTCTGATAAAGGAACATATACAACTGTCGTTCGCATTTAGGTCTTTGCGAAAAAATCCAAAATAAAGAATTTCGTGCTGATATTGTGTCCATAGGTAAATTTGATAGTCATTAAATAGTTCTGACAGTTTCAATGAACATAAACATGTCTTTCTCGAGATATTTGATTGCCAAGTAAAATCAGAGGTACAGAATCTAGCTGTGTGCGGAAATGCGCGTTTGGGAAAATTCATGAAAATGTCGAGATCGAAAAAATTTACGAAGAATATCTTCCTCTACGGAGAAATCATAAACTCAATAAACGATTTATCTAGTTTATTTGTTCTGTCTTTGACTCATTTGCACGCACATTATTCGTCTCTGCATGCTTTTTTCCTTTGCCTACCTCCTTTTCCTTTCAGCACTGTTTCTTGTCATTTACTCTTTTTAAACGTTACCGATTCTGGTTTAAATTATCAACAAGTATCTACGTAAAGGTAAAATAGCATCAACTTTGATAGTAGTAGATTATTTTACGACGGGATATAATAAAATAATTACATGAATATGCAACAATTGATATTGGTCTTTAGTCATCGAAATTGAATATAATAGATTATATTTGTGAATAATATATTGCAATCTATCTGATTTATTAACTATAATAAGTTATTTGCACATGATTCTTTATGAAGACTTTCTCTCGCAATAGAAAACTACTGTTCAGAAAAAAATCCAGACGTATTAACAGATCATAGTATTTCTGTTATTGATTTGTGTTAAAACTGGAAACTTTCAAACTTTTTAGTAATACTTTACCTGGAAATGAAGAGGTTGCCAAAAAGTTTCACCAAAATTCACCTCATTAAATATAAAACAAGTTGCTTAAATAAATTGATTCTCAAAGAACATCTCAAAAACTATATTCGTATTAGAAGACAGCTTCGAGAAGGATGATCTAAAAAACTCGAATAGAAAGTAATAGTCTTCTATTGTGGAAGGGATTCTAATCGATTTCGATGATTAAAAATTTGTTGTAGCTGCCTCTATGTTCATAACATCACTTGATTAAGTGTTCTTGGCATAATAATTGATTATGATCGCATTGATTTTGATTTTATTTACGTGGCGATCGTTTTTGACACCTCCTCGACAGCTCGTTTTTTGATGTTCTGTTTTTATGAATATGCATCATCAAACAAAGACACTCTTTTCTCCTCTTTTTAGGTGGGGAAATTTTCCGAAACACTTTTGTCGTTTGGGAAAGTTTTTCATTTTTGTGGCAGATTTTACACCTCTGAGTAGAATCGATTATTGTATCCTCCTATAGTAGACCGTTGTCTTTTTAGATATTTGATATTCCGGTAAAGACATGTTAATTTTTGTTGAAACTTTTAGGACTATCAGATGTATTTATGGATGTGATTTCAGCTCGAAACTCTTTATTTGCGATTTTTCGAAAAAGCATTGCTCCTAGTAAAAATTTCATTAAAACGGCCCTGCTCACTTTTCAATCGTAGTTAGTGACAGAGCGGATTCTAATAAGAGTTTATATCAGTTCCTTTTTGGATGTTTTCTTCTAAGAACAATCGAAAAAGATTTCAGAAGAAACGAGTAATCGTCTCTAGTATCTCCCTCTAAATGTTGATACTGAATTAGTTAATGTTTCATAAACCTATGAATTTTCTGTTCTCTTTTTAAAACTTTTTTGTTTTTTAAATTTTAGTCAACATTACCTCTTTTACAAAAAGATCTTTTACAATTGGCACGTCAATCTAAACAAACAACAAGTCAATATCTTGCTCAACATGAAGAATTTATTTTACTACCTCGTGATATAATTGAACGAAGTACTAGTCCATCGATTTCGAATTCGAAAGAACAAATTCATGATAGTACAAAAAGAAAATTAACTGATGAGTATGAACTATCATATACTTCTTATGTTCAGTTAAATTTTACTTTATTGTTTTTTTGTAATATATTTTAGTACACATGAACTTGATGAAAGATCTCGTACAACAAAACGTTCATCAGCTAGTTTAAATAATAATAATAATAATAATCATCATCGTTCATTAGTTTCTTCAACTATAACTAATAATATAGTATCATCAACATCAACAAGACGTGATACTCGAGAGAAAGAACGCGCATTTACTACATGTAAATATAAGATTATATTTCAATCGAATTATAATTTTTTTATTTTTTATTTTTATTGAAGATCTTCGTGAATATGGATCTGATACACAAGATAATAGTAGTAAAAATACGGATGATGATTGGAGAAATGCAGAAAATGTAGGTTGATTCTATTTAAGAAAAAAAAACAAAAAAAAATTATTTACTTAAAATTTAGATGCTGAATTGTATCCTTGAAATGGTTACCAAAGCAAAACGAGTTTTATTTATGTTACAACAAAAAGATACTCATCTTCATCGTCTCGCTGAAACAAATGATCTTGAATGGCGACGTAGACATGCTGATATATTAACACAAACAGAAGATCGTATTGCTGAAGTTCGACGAAAAGCAGGTTAATAGAAATTTATTTAACTCTTTGAAGGCGACCATTCGTCCCTACTCTCTTATGATGATCCGATAACATGAATCCATTGCTTCAAATGTATCCTGAAACTATCATTCATCGTCTTATTTTCATTCGAGTTCTCTCGCGTCTAGTACATTCTGATTCTGTTCATTATCTCAGAGTTTCCGAAAAGTTTTATTTCTTCTAAAAATATTTCCATCTGCAAAGGGCTAAGTTTTTATAAGAGCGATCTCTTAGAGAGTTTGATCAAACTTTATAAAAAAAAATCATGATTTTTCTACCGAACGAGAGAAAAGTCGAATTACTTGTTGAATCGAAAGAGCAAAATGCCTTCGTAAGTACTTCAACGACTTAAAAGACTATCATTTGTAAGTTTCCACGAGTCCGTTATTGTTTAATTTGTATTTTCTTTCGACAACTGAAGCGTTGCTACAAGCTTGGTTCACATTTTATCTAGTACGAATCCATATTCAATAAGTATAGATTTTTTTTCCTTCCATTATATGAATAGATTAAAGCAGCACATCATATTTTTTAAACAAAAAAATAATAACATATTCTCAATCAAACAGACTTAGGAAACATTTTTCACGAAATATTGAGCTTAATACAAGTCAATGAATTGAAGAGAGGACCTTTCATTATCAGTAAAGAAGTCTACAATGAATCCGACTTTGTTCGACAGTTACATATTCTTCTGATCTTCATCAAACACTCATTGTATTTCATCTAAAAGGTACTCAGAAACTTGTCTTCTCTCATTTTTAACTTCCAGATGCAGCTCTTATTAAAAAAAGAAAATGTTTAGCTTACTCTAGAATCAAAACGTTCTATCACCTATGATTCTATATAACCAATTTTGATGAAAAAGGAGAATAAAACCGACTAAAATGATCTGCCGATTTTCTTTAAAGTAACCCAATTACAATTGTTTGTTTAATATATTAAATGATCAGAAAATGATGTACTGTTTTTGAACAACGTTTAAAATATATTTTATTTTGGTTGTTCTGTCTTTTAGAAGAAGCTGTACTTGAAATAAAACGTCAATCAATAATTGATTTACAAAAAGCTGTTTCACAAACAGAACAAAAATCTAATGAAATATTACTTCGTGAACGTGAACAATATCAACGATTAAATCAAGAATTAAAAGTACAAACATTTGAAGAAGCATATGCATTACTTAATCGACAAGAAGATGGACCAGAAGTAAAATTTTGAAAAGAAAAAAAAATAATTTCTGTTTATATTTTAGCAATGCTGGCATTGTGGTCGTCGAGCTATTGAAACATGTTCTGCTTGTAATATAGCTCGTTATTGTGGTCAATATTGTCAACATCGTGATTGGGATTTACATCAAAAATTATGTGGACCTGATTTAAAACGAAAAATCAATGATAATCCACAATTACATCGAAGTTCATTTTCGAAACTTGATTTTAATATTTCTTTAAATCCTCAAACAGCTACTTCACTTAATCATATTACACGAATAAACAGTGATACAACAGAAGATACACCATATCTTAGTGTATCATCACCAACTATAATAGAAGCAACAACAATAGGAAATCCGATAGGAAATAATAATAATAATAATAATAAATCTGATTTAGAAAAAGAAGAAATAACGACGGTGAAAATTGAACATGTTTAATTTTTAATAATGCCTTATGTTTTATATTTCAAGTATTGTTCAGGTGTATGAGAAATAGTTTCGGTTTTTCTTTCTTTTCTTTTCTTTTTTTTTTGTATAAACTATGTAACTTTTTTTTCTTTATGTTTTGTT